AGTGGGAGGAAACCGGAGCACCCGGAGGAAACCCACGCAGACACGGGGAGAATGTGCAAACTCCACACAGCCAGTTGCCCGAGGCTGGAATCGAACCCGGGTCCCTGGCGCTGTGAGGCAGCAGTGCTAACCACCATGCCGTCCCGTAAAGCCCCATTAGCTGAGTTTCTGGATTAATCATCCAGTGTTACTATCACTAGGTCATCGCCTTAACTGCTGTTCCAGCCAATCCATGTGGTCTGTGCGGGTGGGCACACTTCCTGCAGATTCAGTTGTCAAAGACATTTGACATCTCCCTGATCCCCACATCTCACAGAAGATGGAATTGGAAAGGGCATCTGGGTGTCTTTAGTTAGGCAGGGACAAGATGGGCCAAATGGCCCCCTTCTGTGCCGTTTCATTTCTATGGTTCTAAGAAGCATAACACCTACAAACTGCCATTTTAACCCTCTAATGACAACTTGATTAAAAAAATAAATAAATAAATCTTATTTGGTTACTTAAATTACAGTTGTTTCTTACCAACTATCCTTTCCTCAAATCAACAACAAAGGCAACATCTAATGTCCACACACAATTCACCCTGTGAAGATGACGATAGGTTGTTTACTTGAATTGCTGCAATTCATGTGGTGCATGTCCTGCCGCAATATTGTCAGTTTGGGAGTTCTGTGATTTTTACCCAGCAACAGTGAAGGAACAACATTATGGTTTCTAATAAAGATAGAGAGTCCAGTTGGAGGGGAAGAGGAAGTTAATGGTAGACATCATGGGTTTGGAAGGAGCTATTGGAGGAGCCTTGGGGAATTGCTGCAGTGCACCTTGTAGATGGTACACACTGCTGCTACTGTATGCTGGTGTTGGAGGCAACGGATATTTAATGTACAACTGATCACAGTCTATAAGTTTATTGCAACAACACAAATGAGTCCCATACTCACAGAGAGCCCCATTGTGGATTATAGCTGACATGCTGCTGATCAGTTTGGCACAGATGTCAGTTGTTGTTGGCTTGACAACTGGAATGCTGTTATCATGGCAGCGATAACGCTCAAAGGTCTCCTTCCTCCTGATGGAGGCTGCATCCCCAGCAATGAACATCTCCATGGAGGAATAGCGAGGAATCAACACAATCTACAAATGGAAACTGGACCGTTAGACACACTTTTTGCTCGGCAATCTGTGACCAGCTCCCAGTATACTGGAAATACTCCACAAAAGCAAGTAATGCTGTGTTTTATCTTCTCAACATATCATCAAAGAATACACAAGGTGCCAGTTTCTCAGTGACCATTACCTCAGTAACAGTTCTGAGGAAGAGTCACCGGACCCGAAACGTTAACTCTGATTTTTTTCTTCACAGATGCTGCCAGACCTGCTGAACTTTTCCAGCAACTTCTGTTTTTGTTCCTCAGTAACACGGTTTGGAGGTGACCACGTTCAGCTTACATATTCCAGTGCTAGGTTGTACACGCAGCTTCCAGGTAAAGGGTTTATTTTAGAATCATGCAATAAAATCCCTACAGTGTGGAATCAGGCCATTCAGCCCATCAAGTCCACACTGACCCTCTGAAGAGTATCCCACCCAATCCCATAACCCTGCATTTCTCATGGCTAACCCACCTAGCCTGCGCATCCCTAGACAATATGGGGTAATCTAGCATGGCCAATCCACTCTAACCTGTGGGAGGAAACCAGAGCATCCCAAGGAAACCCACACAGACACGGGGAGAACGTGCAAACTCCACACAGACAGGTCACTCAATGGTGGAATCAAACCCAGGTCCCAGGGGCTGTGAGGCAGCAGCGCTAACCACTCACCCACTGTGCTGCCCAGCTTGCAAAATCCAGTTCGGGGCCCAGGTAATTATTTAAGAAGGTCCTTATTAAATGTGTAAAATACATACACACACCATTACTTACAGAATCCACAAGAATATTGGCATTGGGAATCCTCTCACGGGAAGAATAACGTTTGAATTCAAGCCGGATTGTGTAGCTGACTGCATGTTCAAGGCAGACCGGCTGAGGGAGAACCACATACCTGAAAGATAAGAATATACTGACTGCAGATTGCAGCAATCACATGCTCATTTACAACTGACATGATGGTTCCTTAGTGAGGGCTCAGTTAGTGAGGGTTCCTCGGGGTGAGGGTTGAGTTAGTGAGGGTTCCTCATTGGTAAGCATCAGGCTTTATTTCATGATCCAATCTCTGATGTGGGGCTTAATCCCACAACATTATGACTCTAGGGTCAAGAGTGCTACCATAATTGACAACTAAGAGAGACTGAAAGAAAATAGCTTCAAAAAAGAGGTACACAGACTGACACAGAGTAGACAGCAATATGGAGAAAAACATTTGAATAGAGAGAGTGAGAAAGAGACAAATTTAGAGAAGGAAAAAGTGAAGGATCTCCAAGATTACAGAGACCTTAATCAATTGGGTCAATAGGCTGAAGAGTGGCAGATAGAGTTTAATTTGGATAAATGCAAGGTATTGCATTTTGGTAAAACAAACAAGGGAGGACTTATACAGTTATGGTAGGGCCCTTGCTATTGTTGTAGGAGAAAAACTAGGAGATGTATTTTTAAGGTGAGAGGAGAAAGGTTTGGAGGGAAAAGGGCTGAATGCAGGCATGTGGCACTAGTTTAGTTTGGGAACATGGTCTGTGTGGACTAGTTGGACCAAAGGGTCTGTTTCCATGCTCTGTGACTCTGTAACTGAGTGACCTAGGATTCAGATGCATAAGAAATAGGGTGGTTAAGAAAGCGTTTAGCACGCTTGCCATCATTGCACAGCCGTTAGAGTATAGGAGTAGGGACGTCATGTTGAGGTTGTACTGGACGTTTGGTGAGGCCTCTTCTGGAGCACTGTGTGCAGTTCTGGTCACCCTGGTATAAGATGGATATTATTAAATTGGAGAAGGGTCAGAAACGGTTTACCAGAATGTTGCCCGGACTGGAAGGTTTGAGTTATAAGAAGAGGCTGGATAGGCTGGGACTTCTTTCACTGGTGCCTAGGAGGTTGAGTAGTGATCTCGTAGATGTTTATAAAATCATGGGGGCAGAAATAAAGTGAATAGCAAGGGTCTTTATCCTAGAGTGGGGGAGTTGAAAACTAGGAGGCATATTTTTAAGGTGAGACAAGAAAGATTTAGTGAGGGGTAACTTTTTTACACAGAGAGTGGTTTTGGTGTGGAATGAGCTGCCAGAGGAAGTGGTGGATGTAGGTAGTTACAACATTTGGATAAGTACGTGAATAGGAAAGGTTTAGTGGGATATGGGCCAAACACAGGAAAGTGGCACTAGTTTAGTTTGGGAACATGGTCAGCATGGACGAGTTGGACCGAAGGGTCTGTTCCCATGCTGTATGATTCTATGACTATGAAAGTATAGCAAGGGTTACAGGGAACCAATGTAATATAAAATCAGGTGAGTGTGATTTCTCACAATCGAACCTTTCACTCCCTGTGACATGCAAACAACAAATTAGGAGCAGGAGTAGACCACTCAGCCCCTAACCCTCTTCTATATTTAATAAGATCATGACTAATTCAATTACTCCACATTCCTGCCTCTGCACTCCCCCTCCCTTTTCATTAGGAATCTATCTACCTCTCCACTGCCTTTCAAGAAAGAGAGTTCCAAAGACATGGCCCTCTGAGAAAAATATTTGCATCTGTCTTAAATGAGCAACACTCCTTTTTAAATAGTGAGCTCTAGTTCTAGGTTTTCCCTCAAGAGGATACATCCTCCCCACGTACCCATGTCAAGATCTCTTAGGATTTTATTTGCTTCAATTAAGTCACCTCTTACTCTTCAAAACTCAATCTGATACTTGCCCTGTACAAGTGAAGGATAAGCTCCTTAGTTTTATATTTAATTGCCTTCACTAAAAACACTATTCTATTAGCTTTCCTAACTATGACCTGCATTCTAACCTTTGTGTTTCATGCACTGAGACACCCAGATCCTCCTGCATCGCATTCATTCTTCAGGGCATGTCCCTTACCTGAAGCCTGATAGCAAGCTTGTGACTAACAGATCATCAGCAGGAATGGTGTTCCCACAAGGGCTGCTGGTAGGAATGGGGCCAGGCCGAATAATGGAAATGGACACTTTCTCCCATTCTGTTGGAAACTGTCACAGGAAAAAAACACCACATAGAATTACATAATCTTTACAGCACAGTAACATTTGGCCCAACTGGTCCATGCTCGTATTGGTGTGGCATATGAGCCTCCTTCCATCCTTCATCATCTCATCTCATCGACATATTTTCATATTCTTTTCTCACCTGTGTTTGTCAGCATCATTTCAATTTAAACAAGCCAGCTCAGCCACTTCCTACGCTAGAAAGCTCAGCATTCTCACTAGTCTCTTGGTAAAAACGGTTCTTCTAATTTCCGTAATGGAATTAATACTAACAATCTTAACAGTTATGACTTGTTTTACAGTTACAATATCAACTCCTTTCATTCTAACCAATGCCTCTAAATTAAGACTTACATTTTTATAGTGCCTTTCACAACTTCAGGAAGTCCCAAATAGCTTTATAACCAAAGAAATACTTTTGAAGTGTAATCGCTGTTGAAATTTAGGAAATACAGCAGCTGATTTGCTCGCAGCAACTCCCACAAACATCATTATGACATGACAGGGAAATTTGACCAATAAAGTGCAGTAAACTCTCCCAGCTCTTCTTCAAAATAATAGCATACTATACAATCAGACAGTTTAAGATTTCATGTCAAAGGTGGTACCTATCGCAGTGCAGCATTCCCTCAGTGAAAGAATGGTGACATGGTTCCAAATAAAGATGCTATGAGATTTGGAGGAGAAAGTGGAAGTGGTAGTTCTCTGATGCACATGCTGTTTTTGTTCTTGTAGAGGCTTGGGAGATGCTGGATTGATCAAAGCAGCCTTGGGGTGAGTTCAGTGATGTTGCCTAGCATGTGTGATCAGAATTCCACCTGACATGGAGCTGAATCCCAAGGATTGGAAGTGATCACTATTTTTCTTGTTCACTGCTGGGTCAGCTAATCTCAGTCATAGTGTTGCAACACACCTCAATGCTCCAGGATTATGAGAAGAAAAATCAATTACTGTGTACTGCTATCTGTAAGAAAGTACATATGAGGCTCCATGGTTCAAAAGTTTTTTTTTAATTTATTTGTGGGATGTGGACATGACAGGCTAGTCCTGCATTTATTGCCCATCTCTAATTCCTCTGGGGAAGGTGGTGAGCTGTTGCAGTTTTTGGGGTGTGTCTACATCCACAATGCCCTTAGGGAGGGAATTCCAGGATTTTGATTAAGTGACAGTGAGGAAATGGCAATATATTTCCAAGTTAGGATGATGCGTGGCTTGGAGAGAAACTTGCAGGGGGTGGTGTTCCCATGTATCTGCTGCCCTTGTCCTTCTACATGGAATGGTCTTGGGTTTGGAAGGTGCTGTTGAAGGCCTGACACTTATTCTGTTGGCTAACTGTGCAGAACAGTGCTCGGGTCAACATGGTGGAGGGCAACTGCCTAAAAGTCATTACACTCAAGAATAAAGGGGGAAAACTTGCATAACGGCTAGAATTAAAAACAATTTTCTGCGCAGAAGTAGGCTGGTTTAGCTCACTGGGCTGTTTTTACTCTCTGGCCAAGTTCTTCCTTTATTTAATTCCACACCCCTCTGCAGATCCCATCAAGTTTATCCTTTTCAAAATTTATTTTGTTCCCTTTTAAAAATTAGTCTGGGTTCTGCTTCTCTCAAAGCTTCTTTATTTAAATTCCCGAGAAACCTTTAATGATTTTAACTTAATGGTCTCTAGCTACCCATTCACCAAGCGGTGAAACTAGTTCTTCCTAGTTTACGTAATTTAAAATGGTGAAGCTAAGAGTTACATTCTATTGAGTTGGACCACTTAGAAATATGAAGCCATTCAGCCCGTCAAACCTGTAACATATGAAAAAGAGTACATCCTTCAGCCATGAATTTCCTCTGCCACTGAATGAGATAATGGCTGATTAGGATCTCAACTTTATTAGCCTACATCATTTCCAGAACCTTTAGTGTCCTTGCCTAAAAATATCTCAGATTTTTCATTCCCTCGCAGTCTCAACAGCTTTTGGGGGGAGGAAGTTTCCATTTCTATTCACTTTTGTGTGAAAATGTGTTTCCTGTTAATACCCCTGAACAGCCTAACTCTGATTTTAAGGCTGTGACCCCCTGTTCGGGATTAACCCCACCAGAGGCTACAGTTTCTCTCTATCTACCCCATCAACTCCTTGAATCATGACTTAACTCATTTACATCAGCCTTGAGTTTCCTATTCACAGGGGAACATGCAACATCTCTATAATAGAAGCCATGTCACTCTGGGATTTGAGTGAACAATCCCACATCCCCTCATATGTTGTAAGTTCCAAATTCACAGAACAATTAGGTTACAATATCTATAGTAAGGAGACTAGGTCCTGAATGCTGGAGTTACAGGAAGTTATTTTTTAGCTGTTGGCAGATGGAGTTGTGGGAACCGTATAAAGGTGTCCTTCTCAGGCACGTTGTGCGTATTGAAGCAGGGATTGGAAGCTGCATTAGGGACCAATGTACTCCTTTCTCAGCAGGGTTTGGGTTCCAATTCCACACTAAATGGTTTAGTGAAAATAGTCTATCATTGCTTGTCCTGGGTGAAGTCAACTATTGCAACGATCTATTGTAACTGAGCGAGCAAATGCCCATCGGTACAAGCTATACCTGTTTATCCAGTAGGTGGGGCTGTAGGTCAGATTTTCAACAAAGGTCAAGAGTCTTGGTGGGACGTGAGACTCGTGGAACTGCAGACACTGTTGAATCAATTTTGGACTGTATGGCCGTTAGATCATCGAGTGGATGCCCATGGGATAAAATCCACAAAGTACCAAGCATTGATTCACTTTCTTGAAGCCCAAACAAAATAACGATGGGTCATTGCAAGACAAAAAATGATGGAGAGTCTGGGAAGGGACCCTTACTCTGTATCTAACCCTGTGCTATCCCCGTCCTGGGAGTGTTTGA